AAAAAAAAAGGCCGGGGGGGAAAATTTGGGGGTTTTTCCCCCCGCACCCCCCGGGGAGTTTTCGAAAGTTAAAACAGTTACGTTTTTTTGACTTGAAAGACCCCACCATATTTTAGGATTCGGTATACATTTTTTCCCCAAATAAACCCGGGAAGAGAAGGGGGTGGGGGTTTTTTGGGTTTCCCGGTCGTTTTTCCGGGGTGTTTTTTGTGGCCCCCCCCCCCCCCCCGGGTTTTCGTCGCTTGGCAACGACGTTGTAAAACAAGCCGCCCCCCCCGGTGTTTGCCATAGGGGTTTGGGTTTTCGTCGCTTGGCAACGACGTTGTAAAACAAGCCCCCCACTCGGTGTTTGCCATCGGGATTGGGTTTTCGTCGCTTGGCAACGACGTTGTAAAACAAGCCAATTCACTTCGTGAACTCGGCAACCAGGTTACCGTCTTTTTTTTTTTTGCGGTAACCATAATGGTGGTCGAGTAGATCATGTTGTGCGGGGTCGAGAAACCTCACTCCGCGCAACGGGGGATGATCGCACCACGTTGTGTTAAAATGGTCAAGCTTCCTCGAGGCAGTTACACAGTGCTTACAACTGTCTCTGGAAGTGAAAGCACCAGAAAATAAATTAAGTCATACGTAGCTGTCATCCGTACGCAAGGAAGTAAGCACAAGATGCCGAACACCCTTAGCAGGATGCAGCTCACCCTTCATGCGACTCGCCAAATACCTCACGGCGCTTCGCGCTTGGTGATGTGAGAGCCTGGTCCGGTGAGAACCCGGCGTGCTCCGTCCCGGCTTTGTAGGGATGCGAGGTCAATGGTCAAACGACTACGGCATGCACGACTATGAGTACACCCCCCCCCCATATGTGATCCTAACTCTCTTTTCGTTGCTTGATGTTGGTTTCAGGAGCTTCAACGGCAGGAATCGACCCTCGGTGGCGTCGGTGCTTGCGATGCCTACGGCAGTCGTCGGGTCGGACTGCTGGACGCTACGGCCGGGCGCCCGGACGGCTATGCACGACCTCCTCGTGACCCTCGTGGGCAACAGCGTCCAATGCGCGACGATGGTAGCAGAGGTAAACACATGTTGGCAAAAAATATATACTAAATATGAGGAAGCCATGGTTTGCGTGCTCTCGTAGAACGTTAATGCAATGATGTGCGTGCTCTTTGTTGTAGAATATGCTGTAATTTGCTACTGCGGTGAATGCGGTTTTCGGTTTTTCATCAAGATTTTTTTTATTTGTTCTTGTCGTCTGTTTTCTTTTGTGTATGTATGCGTCTTGTTTCCCAGTCCATCTTGCAGGAGACGGCGAAACGAGTCACCCGCATGACCCAGATACACATCCACCGGCGGAACGACTACGAGCTGCACCGGCACGAGAACGAGGGGAACGGGTCGCCGACAACAGCAACAGCAGCAGCTGGGGGAGGGGGGGGTACCGGTAGTACCGGGGGCACCGTGAGGGCGAAGGCCACCCGGGGGGGGCTCTTGGAGCAAAATCTGGCCGTGAGTTGCTTTTGGGGGGGGGGTGGAGGGAGTGCGGGTCGTTGTTGCTGTTGTTGTTGGCTTGTGACCACTGCGTCCTATCTTGGAATTTTGCAGTTTGTCGTCTCGTCTTTCCGACGGCAGTCAAAGAACGTGTTTCGTGGCATCTTCGAGACAAAAAAATTGTGTAGTATGTGCGTGCCTGAATCATGTTCTCGTGTCTGGAAATATCTGATCTTATGTAAAATGTGTGTCACATGGACCCATATCTCACACGCAGCGACCCTTGCCTAAAAACCATGTCGCCTGGTGAGCGCCATTATTCTTCCACAATCGAGTGTTAACGCCTCTCCTGTGCCTTGCCTTCTTCATCCACTACACGCCGGTCTCCCAAAAATTTGCGTCGTCACCGTTGAGTGCTAAACCCTCATCCCTCTCTGGCTTGCCTTCTTTCTCAACGACACATCGTCTCCCAAAAAGGTGCATTTTCATAGTTTAATGCATCCCGCTGCTGTGACTCGTATTCCTTTCTCTTCTACCGTCTCCCCCAAACAACAGTTCCTGAGGGGGTTGTCGGCCAAGGTAATCTCGACCCTAACGCGGCACCACGAGGATTGCGAGCGCCAGGCCTACCAGTTCTACTCGACCGCACAGGACCTGGCCGCCAGCCCCCCTGAGCCTTTCCCCCCGGTGGGGTCAACGCCAACAGAAGGCGCACCGGCGGCTGCGGAAGGCTCGCAAGAGGCCGCTGGTGGTAGTAGTGGAGGTGATGCGGCGGATGGTGGCGGTGGTGATGTTGAGGACGGTGATGATGAGGTCAGTTCGCTACATAGTTTTTGTGTGTCTTGTATTGTGTTCGTAGTAGCTATTTATTGTTTTGTCGTTCGGCTGACGGTTGTTGCACGTTTCATTTATGTTGCGATGGATGCTGTTGTGCACATGGGTGTATTTACGCTCAGATAGCTAGATTGGCTGTCTAGAACAAGAGTAGCGGACAAATAATCGAGAGTACAACACAACAAGAATTTTAACATGCAACAGCAGGGTTGCTGATAGAGAAGTTTGTTTGGTGCGATACTCACGAGTATCCCTTCGCAGTCCCGCCTTTATTATTATTATTGTGCTATTTCATTTCCATTGATTCCGACTTTTCTCGAAGGACCTACGTGGCCACAACGTTGCTTTGAATGGGAGCCAGCGGCAGCTGCGGATGTGCCAAAGCCACTTTTGAGCGAGGCGTCAGCGCCTAGTAACATTGATGTTCCTTCGTGGAATATATGATTTTTGAAGCAATCATTACACGTCGCTGTGTTTCGAGCATGCCTTGTGCGTGTTTTTTCGTCCCATATTATATTCCGGCGTCAATCTACATTTAGCTTTCGGTAGTTTCAGCCGGGGTCACACAAGACGAAGGAAGCAACAGCAATGTCTGTCACCTGCTCCGTCTTTTTGTTTCTTACAACGAACACAAAAAGTCCATCTCTTCCACAGATAAGTTTCTGTTTTTTTTCGTTTATTTTATTTTTATCTTTTTGTCTTTGTAGGCGAGGAGGGAGGCTGCGGAGTGTGCGAGAGAAGACTGGGAGGAGGAGGTGCGGCAGTACAGGGAGGCCGGTAATCAGGCGCAGGAAACGGCCGAGTCTGTGTCGGCGATGATCACGAACATCCTGTACTACATGGCCACCGGGTCCGCAAGGTAGAAACGGTTAAGGTTAAGCTAGCACGAAATGCAATAATGAATGGAAAAGATCTCCCAACAATGCCGGATACTCGAGCTTGCCTTCTGCTCCTTGCCCGGGGTGACTTTCTCTTCTGAACTACTGCGTGGCAGCGCGGCTAAAAATATCCGAGTCCAGCACACATAATGACGGACAAGGTCAATTGCGCCACAAATTTTGCATGTGTAAATGTTATGCGTAGTCTACACTTTGGGAATTACTCTTAATAATAGAGGACAAAATGTAGGGAAAGCGAAGACAACAGCTGGGCCCAACATTATTGGAAATCACGTTAGACCAACGTGTCTCATTGGACGTGCAACGTGTCCCACGTATACGGCTGATGACGGGTTGGACGTCCCAGCGGGACGTCCGATTGCATGTCCCGAGTGTCCCATCACCCAAATTAGATGGTCGATAGGACGCATAGATCGGACGCCGCTACCAGTTGTGGTTTCTGGTAGGTTAGTATAGTGGGCGTGTGATCATGGAGGGCGTCCCGTGGTACGTCGAACGTGTCCCACTGGACGTCCAACGTGGCCCATGGGACAGCAATTGGACGTGCAATGGGCCGCGTTGGGCGTCCAATGGGACATTTTACACGTCCAACGTGTCCCATGGGCGTCCAATGGGACACGTTGAATGTCCCACTGGACACGTTGGACACGTTGGACATCCCATCGGACACGTTGGACGTCCAATAGGGCACGTTGGACGTCCCATTGGAAACGTTGAACGTCCGATGGGACACGTTGGACGTCCCATGGGACACGTTGGGCGTCCCATGCGGCAGGTTGGACGTCCCATGGGACACGTTGGACGTCCAATGGGGCACGTTGGACATCCCATGGGACACGTTGGATGTCCCATTGGACACGTTGGACGTCACGTTGGACGTCCCGTTGGACACGTTGGACGTCCGATGGGACATGTTGGGCGTCCTATGGAACACGTTGGACGTCCCATGGGACACGTTGGACGTCCCATGGGATACGTTAGACGTCCCATTGGACACATTGGACGTCCCATTGGACACGTTGAACGTCCGATCGGACAAGTTGGACGTCCCATGGGACACGTTGGACGTCCCATGGGATACGGGACACATGTTGGAACACGTTGTACGTCCCATGGGACACGTTGTACGTCCCATGGGACGCGTTGGACGTCAAATGGGGCACGTTGGACGTCCCATGGGACACGTTGGACGTCCTATGGGACACGTTGGAGGTCCCATGCGGCACGCTGGATATCCCATGGACACGTTGGGCGTCCCATGCGGCACGTTGGATATCCCATGGGACACGTTGGACGTCCCATGGAATACGTTGGACGTCCCATGGGACACGTTGGACACACGTTGGAACACGTAGGACGTCCAATAGTTGGACGTTCCATGGGGGACGTCCCATGGTGGACGTAGACACGTTGGACGTCCCATTGGACACGTTGGACGTCGAATGGAACACGTTGGAGGTCCCATGCGGCACGTTGGATATCCCATGGGACACGTTTGACGTCCCATGCGGCACGTTGGATATCCTATGGGACACGTTGGACGTCCCATGGAATACGTTGGACACACGTTGGAACACGTTGGACGTCCAATGGGGCACGTTGGATGTCCCATTGGACATGTTGGACGTCCCATGGGACACGTTCGACGTCCCATGCGGCATGTTGGACGCCCCATGGGACACGTTGGACGTCCAATGGGACATGTTGGACGTCCAATGGGGCACGTTAGACGTCCCATGGTGGACGAACAATGGGGGACGTTGACACGTTGGACGTCCAATGGAACACGTTGGACGTCCCATGGGAAACGTTGGACGTCCCAATGGGACACGTTGGACGTCCCATTGGGACACGTTGGACGTCCCATGGGAAACGTTGGACGTTCCATGGGATACGTTGGACGTTCCATGGGATACGTTGGACGTTCCATGGGACACGTTGGACGTTCCATGGGACACGTTGGACGCCAAATGGGGCACGTTGGATGTCCCAGTGGACACGTTGGACGTCCCATGGGACACGTTGGACGTCCCATGGGACTCGTTGGACGTCCCATGCGGCACGTTGGATATCCCATGGGACAAGTTGAACGTCCGATGGGATACGTTGGACGTCCCATGGGAAACGTTGGACACACGTTGGAACACGTTGGGCGTCCCATGGGACACGTTGGACGTCGCATGGGACGCGTTGGACGTCAAATGGGGCACGTTGGACGTCCCATAGGACACAATCGACGTCCCATGGGGCACGTTGGACGTCCCATTGGACACGTTGGACGTCCAATGGGACACGTAAGACGTCCAATGGGACACGTTGGACGTCCCATGGAGGACGTCCCATGGGGGACGTCCCATGGGGGACGTTGACACGTTGGATGTCCCATGGGAGACGTTGGACGTCCTATGGGACACGTTGGACGTCCCATGGGAAACGTTGGACGTCCCATTGGGACACGTTGGACGTCCCATGCCCATTGGGACATGTTGGACGTCCCATGGGACGCCTGAGAACACGGGTGGGGCGCCCATCACACGTCCATTACACATATGTCGCCCTTTTTGTTGTACTGCGTCTATGCTATCTCTGCTTGTGCGTTTCCGTCGTCAGCGGACTGCACTACAACGTCGACGCGGTTAGGTTGATAGCAGCGCTCGCTCCGCCGCCCGCCGTCACCCCTGCTAGAACCTGCTTCTCTGCTTGGCAAGCGAGAGCCAACCAAGCGCAACAACAAAATAATACCGTTGTTGCATTTTCTACTTCAAACTAGCAGCTATACCAATACTTACTAACACACAACATGTTTGCAAGTGCTGTACTCATGACACCCACAGCTGCGACTTCGAACGCCATACCAATATTTACGAACACCCCCACCACGTACTGTATGCATGGCACTCGTAGCTGCGACTTCAAGACCGCGAACGCCGTTCCACTATGTCCGAATCCCTCGCCCGTAAGTATACACATGCTATACATATGTAAGCATGCATGGTACTCACAGCTGCGACCTAAAGACTGCGAACGCCGTACCAACATTTACAATGACCCCAACCCACGTGCTGAATGCTTGGTACTCGCAGCTGCGACTTCAAGACCGCCAACGCCGTGGCCAGGGCGATCCGCAAGCAAGCCGTCGAGGTTCGAGACGGCCACGCCCTAGAGCTCTTGAAGGCGCCCTTCGCCGTGAGCCTGTTCAGGGCCTACGCCGAGAACTGCGCCCCCGTGAGCGGCTTCCTTCGGTGCTACCCCTCCTCGTCCTCCTCTGCGGATGTCGGTGGCGTCAGCGGGACTGATGATCTGCTGGCGCTGCTCGCGCTACTTGCGCCTGCGGTAAGTTTTGTTGTTTGTGTGTGAGGCTCTGTTGGTGGTCGTGGGAAGGCAGTGGTGGCGAGGTACACATATGTTGCTGCTGTTGCTTGGTTGTTGTTTGTGTTGTCGCGGTTTTTCGCGATGCTGCTGATGATGACGGTACCTTTTTTTTGGTTTTCCCATTGCCATCAACCGCCGTGTTCGCCACGCAACCCCTTTTTTCCCAATGTCGGCGAAACCGGTGTTGGTTGGGTGATGCGGTCACACCGCCTTCGGTTCGACCCTGCCGGGGGGTTTTGTGCCTACAGGAGCAAGAGTAAGATCCTGACGTCTATCCTTACATGTACATCAAGAGTCCGGGCTAGGTCGTTCGACGTTGGTTTTTGGCGAACAACAGCAGAATTCAACCAGACAAACAGCAGGGGGAGTTAGGCTAGTAGAGGAACATGGGGTCATACTTCCAAAGATGGCGGCCTGTGGTCTCACCTTTCGCTCATTTTACTTGTCGCATCTGTACGATGATTACTGCAGCACCAGGGGTATGTGTTTGGCGGTGTTTTACCTTGTTGGTTGACATGGCACACCGCCCCCCCCCCCCCCCCCCCCCAAAAGGGAATTTTTTTCCCGGGGAATACCCTAAAAAAGGGAAT